ATCATATACTGTAATAACGTGAAAATCACATTTATATCTCATAAATATCATATACTGTAATAACGTGAAAACCACATTTATATCTCATAAATATCATATACTGTAATAACGTGAAAACCACATTTATATCTCATAAATATCATTTATTATTATTATTATTCAAGGCTAAATTTTATTGCAAAATACATAAATTTCAGATACATTACCAATTTCTCAATCGTTTCAATGATAAGATCTGGTGGTAGGAAATATGACTTATAGAATCAGATCGTGGTCTTCTTATATTCTTGAAATTTATATTTAGAACAAATGCTATAGTTTCTCAACGACAACTTCTAAAAAGTTCTAAAAACAAAAAAGCTTCTTTCCGGACAAATTTCTTTCCCAAAAGATCAAAATCAATTTGTTAATCAAAAATGTGTTTTAGTATATCCCAAAGCTAGGACGGCGGTATTAGTGTTTTAGTATATCCCAAAGCTAGGACGGCGGTATTAGTGTTTTAGTATATCCCAAAGCTAGGACGGCGGTATTAGTGTTTTAGTATATCCCAAAGCTAGGACGGCGGTGTTAGTGTTTTAGTATATCCTGCCAGCACTGCTGGTTCGGAATGGTATTCTCCAGCACGAAATAGAAGATATGTTCAATATGATAAATAGGTAAGAAAATCTAACAACTTACATTTGAATGTTATTTTGTGAGATAAACGTTCTTGAAGTCATCCACAGAAGTGTAGACTTATAGATACTATTAACTAACTGCTATGTTACGACATCTCGTGCAAGTGTACTTCATCATACTTTCAACTTTTTTAACACGCGCCACAGTCGATAGATTTAAGTCTTTATTCGAAACGTTAACAATAAGTATTTGTTAAAGAGTATGCTTTTTGTCTATCAGTCTTTACTAGTCTTCAACTTCGCATGAGAGGTTTGAGTTTGTGATAATCATCGTTAGTCATGTGAATTTTTGAAATCTTGTATAATAAAAACGTTCTACTTAAAAACTCCAAGATGAAAATTTCAAGTTTGCTTTTGTTTTTACTGAAAAGGTAAGTTGATAATATAACACCACTCCAAACTTACATATATAATGAATTCTAATTGGCTTAATTTTACTTGTCTTATTTGATTTTGAACATCTCTACCAATAAAGCATTATTATTTTATTACGTTTTTAAATACATCCATTTTCGACTTAGTAATATTTATTATCTTTCCTTGATTTTATAGTTAAATATTAAACAAAAAAAAAACCCAGATAGATAGATAGACAGACAGACAAATAAATATATAGTATTAACTTAAGATTTAACAGAAAAGTTAAGACGATTTTGATTTATTTTTACAACTGAGAACTGTTAATAATGGGCTTTCAACTGCAGATAGTAAGAAAAAGAAGTTATCTTATTAAATAGAAGCTTTATGGCTGTGCATCTGTCTTAACGAAACAGCAAATAAGGGAAAAGATATTGTTGACGTCAAAAATGACGTCATGGTAGCGACATGTGAGTGTAACATCACTTATATAAAAAGGGGCAGCGATGTTCCAACCCTTAGACATCAACCGACAGAGCGAAACAACGTACATCAACAACTAGCGAGCTTGATAAAGAAGCAGAGATTCTTTTAGCTGTTATACACCTCTTACAGGTACAGTACTAGGATTCACGTTAGCTCATTTATTGTAAGAAATACAGATATTCTTTTAGCTGTTATACACCTCTTACAGGTACAGTACTATGATTCACGTTAGCTCATTTATTGTAAGAAATACAGATATTTTAGCTATTATACACCTCTTACAGGTACAGTACTATGATTCACGTCAGCTCATTTGTTGTAAAAAATACACCTCTTACAGGTACAGTACTATGATTCACGTTAGCTCATTTGTTGTAAGAAATACAGATATTCTTTTAGCTGTTATACACCTCTTACAGGTACAAAACTATAATTCACGTTAGCTCAATTGCTGTAAGAAATACAGAGATTATTTTAGCTGTTATACACCTCTTTCAGGTACAGTACTATGATTCACGTCAGCTCATTTATTGTAAGAAATACAGATATTCTTTTAGCTGTTATACACCTCTTACAGGTACAATACTATGATTCACGTCAGCTCATTTATTGTAAGAAATACAGAGATTATTTTAGCTGTTATACACCTCTTATAGGTACAGTACTATGATCACATCAGCTCATTTATTGTAATAAATACAGAGGTTCTTTTAGCTGTTATACACCTCTTACAGGTACGGTACTATAGATAAATATGGATTTCTTTAGCTGCTCTAAATTTGTTATAGTTATAGTACTATAGGTTTGCGTTAGTTCATATATTAATAGAGAAACGGGGATTCCTTTAGCGTTAGTCCACGTAGAACTGTAACTTTGCGTTAGTCCACGTAGAACTATAGTTTTGCGTTAGTCCACGTAGAACTGTAGTTTTGCGTTAGTCCACATAGAACTGTAGTTTTGCATTATTTCATGTAGAACTGTAGTTTTGCGTTAGTCCACGTAGAACTGTAGTTTTGCATTATTTCATGTAGAACTGTAGTTTTGCATTAGTTCACGTAGTGATATTTAACAAATATTTTGTTAACAGTTCTATACTCCTTATAGATATTATTCTGTGATTTTATCTAAATACCAATCAAGATAACCTAAACTCTTCTGCCTTCCTTTATATCTATAGAACTCTAAATACCGATCGAGATAACCTAAACTCTTCTGCCTTCCTTTATATCTATAGAACTCTAAATACCGATCGAGATAACCTAAACTCTTCTGCCTTCCTTTATATCTATAGAACTCTAAATACCGATCGAGATAACCTAAACTCTTTGCTTCCTTTATATCTATAGAACTCTAAATACCTATCGAGATAACCTAAACTCTTCTGCCTTCCTTTATATCTATAGAACTACTAAGTACCGATCGAGATAA